TGAAATCGGTTAGCTCTGTTATGGTCGCTATATTTCTTGCCGATGCAAATTATAGACCGAAAATGAATACTAGAAAAAAGAAAAATAAATGAAGAGTATCTTTTTGCAGATGGGCCATGACAGTTCTCTTCTCATCTAAGTACACTTGTAAGTAACGCAGTGTGTGTGTGTGTGTATGTGTGTGTGTGTGTATATGTGTGTGTGTGTGTGTGTATGTGTGTGTGTGTGTGTGTGTGTGTGTGTGTGTTGGGCCCCATGTGCTCGTTATTATTTGTTAACATTTCTGATTGAGTGCTTTTGCTCGTCCTTAGCAGCGGATAGGTGCAACATGTGTCCTGGGCCCCTGCAATTTTGACAACAATTTCATATGGTGTCACTTTGTCACCATATGTTTTGTAGATTTTGCAAATACCATATTCAACAGAAGTTTTACTCATTGAACTAAGAACTAAACCTGTTTTAGTTCTCATTTTTTCCTTTCATTTTTCTTTCTGTTTTTGTTATTTTTACACCGGGATCTCCTCCGGTCTTCTTCAGGTGAAATCTTTTCTTTGTTTTTTTTTTTTTCTATTTCTTTTCTTCTTTCTTTATATCCCAGAGTCAGCTAATCAATTAATCTCAAAGATCAGTCTGTGGCCTAATGTTGTCTTTGTTCCTACCTTACTTATTGTCATAAGGTATCTACATTACTTAATATCTAAATATTGTCTTTGTGTCTACCTTTTTGTCTTCATCGTTTTTGTGCACCGTATCTCTTCGGAATGTAGGCGATCGTGGCTCTCCACAACTTCCTCTCGTTATTATCACGCATTAATATTTTTTTTTACTGTCATTCCTACTCACTGTTCTGCCAAAAATTTACTCGGTAGGTTATACGTTGTTGCCCTCTGGAAGCAACATATAACCAGCCTAGTAAACGTATTTTTTACCTTCAATATATCCTATGAATGTCAAGTTCCCCATGCCTTCTTTCCTCACTATGTGTAACAGAGATTTTAACTACGTCTTTCTGATTCTAGCTACAATTGTCCCTTTTTCTTTAAAACTTACTCGTTGCTCACATACTCCATCAATTGTATTCACGGCATCCCTGAATAGAGCCACGTACTTGTTTCTTCATCTGTGAGGAAATTGTTCCGCATTCACTACCATACAGGACGACTGATATTACATAGCAGTCAAACACTCTTTTCTTTCTTTCTTACTAACAACATTTTTCAGTTTCTTAATACTTGACAGCTTTCTGAAGGCATGTTTCCCTATTCGAACGCTTTCGGATTTCTCTGGCATATTTTCGTTGTCTATTAAATAATTCTCATGTAGTTAAATTGATTCGCTTGATTCTAACATCTCCAAATGATAGCTCGCAGCTCGTCGCGTCCCCACCTTGCCGTAAATTATATCTCTTATAATTCATAGTTAGTCCTTTCTTCGCGCTTTCTTTTTCTACTCTGTCTAGAAGTTTCTGCGGGCGGCCAGTCCTTAGACACCCACAATTTTACTCCGTTTTCACCAAAATAACAGCATCGCATTACATCAAAAGGAAGTTAATAGGAACGAATCGTTAAGAAATCTCTATCTATAAAAGGCAGGATCTGTGTGTATCTGTGTGTGTTTGTGTGTGTGTGTGTGTGTGTGTGTGTGTGTGTGTGTGTGTGTGTGTGTGTGTAACGAATGCACGGCCGTAATTTGCGACGGATTTGCACCAAAATTTACATGCACATGCTCCAAGTTAACGGGAAGGCCAAGACCGACTTTGCATTTCCCAACTACCATCGATAGTGGAAATAATCGATTTTTTCCTGCTTCTACGGCAGTTTTCATGTAGTTTGCGGCCATTTTCTACTGGTCAGAGTGAGAGTCTATAGCTGGGTGCCACGAATAGGCAGGAAGATTATATTGGCTAGCGTGAGAGCCAACAGCTGATTGACACAAATATTAACTAGCATGCTAGCATGCAAAAAAAATCGATAGCTGCATTCGTCACAAGTGGGAAAAATTTAAATCTGCATGGCACTTTACTCCAATTGGCTCATTCGCTTGCTTAAACTCAACGTTGATTCTGATTCTGCAAAACTGGGTTGGGTGTGAAAAAGTATTTGTTGTTAACATTCTTTTTTCATTCGGTTTTTCCAGTTACGAGTCCTTTTTTAAAGACATCGTTTTGTTTAGTTCTTTTTTCGTAACAGATTTAATGTTTAGTATAGAGTTTAGAAAAAATTCGCAGTGTGAGATAGGCAAGAAGTAAGGCATGTAGCAACATCAGCACGGCAAAGGGCACTCCTTTAAAGGCAAGGAAGAGCAAAAATATTTTAAGTCAAATGATAGCGATTGCTATATGAGTCGTACGAATTTGAATCAAGTACGGGCAACGCCGGTCCATGCTGCTAGTAGAACATAAAAAGAAACTATTTTCAAGGCAGTTATTAATCTGCTGAAAATGCTTCCATTATTTTTAAGAACATATTTCATTGATATAAATTTAAACAATGCACTAGAC